GTACTTCAAACGTCTATTCCACACCGAAGCCCGGCCGACCGACGGCTTGCAAGCGCGGGGCATGGTCTGGCGATCTTTGGCCGGGGGCATGCCGTGGTTCTCGATGATGTTCCGGATCTGCGGCTCGAAGCCTCCCGAGTCCATCGGAGCACAGCTTCGGATCGGATCGGATCGCGGATCGATTTTTTTTGCGCGGGGAGGCTTGCGAAACGAAAAGATGAGGCCAATGTCATCCGGTGGCCGGAATGCGAGGAGCTTTCGACAAATTCTTTTGGGGGGGGACCGGGAGACCCCCCTTGATCTGAAAATAGAAATACGGGCAAATAACCACCCATTTTAAGAACCAAACAGCGAATCAGGAAGTTCCGCTGGAAATTAGATTTCGACACACCCACAAGAAATAATAGAACATCCTGATTTCTTAGCTCCCCAAAAGGGGGGACCTGGCAAAACAAGGCCAACAAATTCTGGGACACCTCAAGTTTGCATAATCAGCTTTGAGGCGTTTAAGGTGAAAAAGGTCGAAACTCGCTGAGTTCTTTCCAGTTGCCTTGTGGCTCTCTGGGACTCGGACCATTCCCTGGCATTGACCAGGAAAGTCCACGCCCTTTCCAGAAACATAGCTGGAGAGATTCATCTGAAGGGACCCTGAGGTGCAATGCAATGTCAGCAAAAACTCCGATCACACCTAAGCTTCACCACTAGACCATACCCAAAACAAACCTGGGAGGAGAATAAAAAGGCAAAGAGGCAAATGAGGGGTCAACATTAAGCCCGAAGTGCCCTACCGCTGCTTTGGGGTCTGGTCTAGGGTTCTGTGGAGATGTGGGATTGGGCTCAGACAATTCGACCGAGGAGGAAAGCTTATTTGAGAAACCACCACTCATGCCTGGTCGGGCAAAAAAGCAACAAACAGCAGGAACAAAAGCGAAACAAACACATTAAAAGCAACCTGGTCCGGAGTGTTAAAAAAACAAACAAACAAAAAACAAAAACAAAAAACGTACGTGAGAAACGACGTCGCCCAGTAACCACCGCTGCCAAAAACCCGACCCCCGTGAAGGTTTCTCCGCAAAAGCTGAGGGCCCGGACCCATGTCCAACATCCGATCCGCCTCATCCAGGGCCAAGAACTTCACCTCGCAAGCGCTCGCTTGCGAGCGCTGACAGCTCGAGCGCTGGGGGTTTGGTGGGGGGTTGGGGAGGAGAAGCCTACGCAGCGAAGGCACTGGGCCAGCGCAAGATGCCAAAGCCAAACTGAAGAAAAAGACCAGTTGAAGGCCACAAAACACCGCCGAAAACCAAACACAACAGGCCCACGTCCTTTCAGGTTGCACAAGGCAAAGGCGCGACCCTCCGCTCGAAACGATCTGCCTCTTCCATGCTCATGACGCCGCGAACGAGGAAGTCCTCAAACCGCTCACTCGAACAAAGAACCGCGCCCGGCCGACGACAGGGATACAGGGGTCAGGCTGATGGATGTCGAAATACAGGGGATACAAGGAGGATCCTGGGATACAGAGCGCAGAACAATGTAGGGAATGCAGCGGATGCAAGCATCCGCATCCACTGTATCGATCCCCTGCAACCACTGCATCCACTGTATCATCCCCCCTGCGGATGGTTCGCAGAACAATGCGAGGAATGCAGAGGATACAGGGGTGGATGCAGTGGATTCGCGGGATGCAGGGGGGATGCAGGGGATGCAGGTGATGCAGGAGATGCAGGGGATGCAGGGGATGCAGGGGGGATTGCAGGGGATGCAGGGGATGCAGGGGATGCAGGGCATGCAGGGCATGCAGGGCATGCAGGGCATGCAGGGCATGCAGGGCATGCAGGGCATGCAGGGCATGCAGGGCATGCAGGGCATGCAGGGCATGCAGGGCATGCAGGGCATGCAGGGCATGCAGGGGATGCAGGGGATGCAGGGGATGCAGGGGATGCAGGGGATGCAGGGGATGCAGGGGATGCAGGGGATGCAGGGGATGCAGGGGATGCAGGGGATGCAGGGGATGCAGGGGATGCAGGGGATGCAGGGGATGCAGGGGATGCAGGGGATGCAGGGGATGCAGGGGATGCAGGGGATGCAGGGGATGGGGATGCAGGGGATGCAGGGGATGCAGGGGATGCAGGGGATGCAGGGGATGCAGGGGATGCAGGGGATGCAGGGGATGCAGGGGATGCAGGGGATGCAGGGGATGCAGGGGATGCAGGGGATGCAGGGGATGCAGGGGATGCAGGGATGCAGGGGATGCAGGGGATGCAGGGGATGCAGGGGATGCAGGGGATGCAGGGGATGCAGGGGATGCAGGGGATGCAGGGGATGCAGGGGATGCAGGGGATGCAGGGGATGCAGGGGATGCATGGATGCAGGTAATGCAGGGGATGCGGGGGATGCAGGGGATGCAGGGGATGCAGGGGATGCACAGTGCAGAGGAAATGTAGGGATGCAGGGATGCAGGGAATGCAGGGAATGCAGGGAATGCAGGGAATGCAGGGAATGCAGGGAATGCAGGGAATGCAGGGAATGCAGGGGGTGCCGCAGATCAGGGCATGCAGTAGATGCATGCAATGCAGGGAATGCAGGGAACGCAAGGGGTGCCGCAAATGCAGCGGATGCAGGGCATCCTCTGCATGCAGGGGATGCAGAGATGTCACAATGCAGGAATGTAGAAGATACAGGGGATGCGGTGATACAGCGGATGCAGGATTTGCAAATCATACAGAGGATGCAGGTGCTACAGCGGATGCAGGGGATGCAGAAGATGCATGAGGATGCAGGGGATGCAGAAGATGCAGGGGATGCAGGTGATGCAGGTAATGCAAGGGATGCGGGGGATACAGTGGATGCAGTGAATGCAGGGGGTGCCGCAGATGCAGGGCATACAGGGGATGCATGGGATGCAGAGATGTCAGAATGCAGAATGTACAGGATACAGGGGATGCAGGTGATACAGCGGATGCAGGAAATGCACATGATACAAAGGATGCAGGTGCCCGGGGATGCGGAAGGTGCAGGTCATGGGATGCAGGAGATGCAGAGGATGCAGGTGATGCAGTGGATGCAGGGGATGCGGGCGATGCAGTGGATGCAGTGGATGCAGGTGATGCAAGGGATGCAGGGGATGCAGGGGATGCAGGGGATGCAGGGGATGCAGGAGATGCAGAGGATGCTGAAAATGCGGGATGGTTTGCAGAACAATGCAGGAAATGTAGGGGGATACAGGGGATGCCGGTGATATAGCGGATGCAGGGGATGCAGGGGATGCAGGGGATGCAGGTGATACAGTGGACGCAGGTGATACAGTGGATGCAGGAGATGCAAAGGATACAAGGAATACTCCCATTTCCCAAAACCCAGAACAGCGGCCCGAAAGCGTGGGTGTCTCAATTTTGATGAGCTCGCACCCCCCAAAAAAAAACGGCCAACCGGTGTTCCCGTAGGTTTCCCCAAAAAAATCTGAAGGAAGTACCTCCAGAAGGCGAGCCAATGTGTTCCTGGCTTCAAGCTCAAGTCCTGGAAGTCGGGTCTTAATTTCGGGACTCCAGGTGAGACATCTCAACTGGCCCAAGTTTCTTTGCTTTTCATTAAGGCCAGACCAATCTAGGATGAGAACCCCAAAAGTGAATCCTGAGCATGACTCAATTCAACGTCGAGCAAGCTGAAGTTCTGTGGATCACCGGACCCAAGCCGGAGATCTAAAACGGCATAAGAGAACTTCAAGTGGATCATCCCTCGCAGCTGAAACAGGTATTGAAACCGGGTTGTCCTCAGATCTGCTTAAAGTGAATAACTTTGGGTTAAAAAAATGAGGAATCCCCACCCATGACCCAACAAAAACATTGGACCAGAAAAACACAAGGATCGCTGGAAACCAAGCAAAATGAACTCACAGAAGCGCCATAGGCAAGTACCACTTCCAGCCCAAAACAGCCATAGGTCATTCCACAGACCATTTGCCAGCCATTGGAAGGTCCTAACTTTCATAACCCAAACGAGGTCATGTGGTCCTCCAGTCGCCCAGGAGTGCCTCGCTTGCGCTCGCGCTCGCGTCTGCTAGCCCCCGCAAAAACCCACGGGTGCCTCCCTAAAACGGGGCACGGCCCTGTGAGTCACAATCAAAGCCGATCGGTATTAAAATGTTGCACCCAAACCAATGTAAAGAACTGCAGAGGCGGCTGCAACTGATTCTGGCTGGGACTTTCCCTTACTAACCTTCACTTACCCGGGCTTTGAGTATGGTTCATGTGGAGGTTGATCAAAAGGTCCTTTAAATGGGATGACCATTTGGGGAAACCACTACAAAGATCAGAGGATGGAAAAAAATACCATGGTCATTTTGGGGCCAGGAATCTTGACCGACCCCCATGTAGCTGGGAGGGAAACCCACGCGTCTTGAGGCGAAGGGAAGCCGACCCCGGCTTTTTGGGTGTGGTTTTTGGGTGTCGCTTCGGACACCGAAGCAAGGTTCCGATTTTTTGGGAGGCGCAGGAAAACCGAAACCCTTTTGGGGGTTGAAGATCAGAAACCCTGAAGGAAAGTATGCTGGGGGCTCCATGTTTGAGACAAAGCCCAGCTTTGTGTTCCGTCGACGGCTCTAATCTGGCACATAGCCAGTCTGGCAATTCCAGGCCCGTCGTTGCTCTCTTAGACTCACTAAGGCTTGCTCCAAATTCATGGAATGAACCCAAAAATGAGGGTGTTATGGATCCAAAAATTGGATATGACAATTTTACGTAATAGAAGGTCTAGAATAATGGTTTCCTTTGCAAATGAGGGGTTTTGGGGTTCGATGCTCACTGCGGACAATCAGGTTCCTGTATAGTTTCACAATGGATGGACCCAACTGGAATCCGGACTAACAAACCTGGCCGACTACTAGGAAAAGTGAACGACCTCCTGGAAGATTGCAAAATATGCCTATCTCCGGATTGCCATGAAGCAATGCAACAAGCACAGTTCCCTCTCCAAGACCACGTTCCCTGGGCAACCAAATGAACCTAGGTGACCAGCAACCTCGCGCACTTCGCCTGAAGACCCGTCTTGCAAAAGGCCCAGGGCGACGGCGCGAAATTCTCTCGAGATGGAGAGAGGGACTCCGGGCGCTTGGCTTCAAAGGCAACTCCCCAAAAACTTCAGAAAGCCACTTTCAACGGAAACGAGACCCCCTCCAAAAAAGAAAGACCCAAAAAAGCCCTTGCAACGACAACACGCTCTCCCTAATCCACAAAAAAAAAACTGAAGCCCAACTTCCCCCCCCCCCGGCAAAAAGTATGGTCGTTCGGTCCGAGCGGCAGACCACCACCTCCACCCCGGCCGCGAACTTCCGCATCTGCGGGATGGCGTCCGCGCCCCCGTAGACCGCCGCCACCCGAGCCCCGGAGCGGAAGGTCAGCCTGGCGGAAGGACGAAACGAGGCGAAAGGAGACGAGACGAGAAACGAGTCGGCGGAGTGGTTGAGGCCAGGTTTGTGTGTGGCATTGAAGTTGAGGCTGGAGGCAGTGTTGCGTGAAAAATTGTCAAGCTGAGGCTAGAAGTGATGCCGTTCCCAACTCCGAGATGATCTCGCAAACCCCCTGGAAGAGTCCTCAACACGAAAGGAATCCTCTTTTGTGAGGCCCGCATGCTCTCTCTTGAGCGGATGATTCCACACTCCTTGGTGGGGCAACTGAGAGACTGAGTTCTTCATAGGAGGGTCTGGTCTGCAGAACCATGTGGGGATTTTCTTGAGGGGCTTGCCCTTGACCATGTGGTTGGTGCACGGCGTGTAAACGGCCGTGGTGTTTTAAGCATTTGCTTTATGTTTATTTTGTTGCATTTGTTTGTCTTTTGGGTGGAACATTTTGTCTAATTTAGCTGCTGTTTGCGTGGCTTATGGGGTGGGGGGGGAGGGAAGGGGGGGGATTGATGTCAAGGTTCGGCTGTTGGGCTGTTTTTTTTGGGGGGGCAACTTTTTGGAACACCCTGGCTTGTGGCTGCCGAGTCGGGTCATTTCTTGTTTCCGCTCAATGTGAGCGCCATGGATGCGTATGCTTTTGAAGTGTCTTTGTCCCTTGCGTTTGTTCTGCTTTTGAGTTTGGCGTGCGCTCCACCCCCAAACCGGTCTGAGGTTCTCTTGAGGTCCCTGGTATTTGGACCATCATCTTGACGTTTTCTGCACCATTTCGCGTGGAGATTCTGTGCTTGAATTCGTAGTTCTTGCCTCCATTGATTCCCACCGTGGTCCGATTGCTTCACTTCTTTGACTGAACATCTTCCTTCGCTTGCGTCCTGGTCTCGGTACGTTTGAAAGGTTGGTGGCTGCCTTGCCCCCTCCTTTTTGTCTCGACGCGTGCCCTACGGGTCTGCGCCAGATCTCCCCGAATTCGACTCCAAGGTCGACACTCGGCATCACTTGGCACCATTTGGAGGCACGTCAAGCGCTGAGCCCCTGGGTGGCGGATTTTTGATTTTCCAGTGGTGCTTTCGTATTCGGATGCCGCAGATGTCAGCAGTCCGATTCCAATATGAGCTGGAAAAGCTGTTGTCGAAAGTAGTTTGGCGCAAAATGTTGGACTGCAAAAGCGTGCGTTGCGCAAGAGAAAAAGAATGCGTGCTGCGAAACACACTGTAACGCCGACGCAGAATGCTGCATGCATGCCCGAAAAATCCCTTGAAACCACCACGGCCGTCTACATGCTGTGTACCTAGTTTGGTTGAACATGTTTGGGTGCGTCTTTCTGTTGGGTAATGTTTGGGCTCAGGGGAAGCGAATGGTAAACCTCCCAAAGTGAGGAGTTATCTAGAGACAAACCCATTTCTCTAGGGGTTGATTCCATTTCCATTCTTGTCAACCATCCTTCTTTCCAAAAACCAAATCTGCTTCCCCTGTTCTGATGGTTTTCCGGAAAGATCCGGATCCCTGGGCTCGGACTGGGGAGGGTATCCCTAAGGCCCGGGTCAAAATCAAACCACTTGGATCCATTTACATTTGGGTAACCCATTTGGGGTACCTATATTTGGCCACCCATAAGTGTCCCCTAGGATTTCTGCCTTCTTGCACCTTGCGATCCAACTTGAAGGGGCTCAAGTGCCGGGGTCTTCAGCCCATCGGGTCTTGACGCAACTGCGTCGCATGTGCGGAGCGCGCAGAAGCCGACTCGCTCATTTCGCTTGGGCGCGCAAGGTCTATGTCAATCGGGCAGGAAACAAACAAGCCGAAGTTGAGACAAAAGGTTTGTTAGTTGCGTCAAGTTTGTACATACATTTGGCAAAGTCAAGAACTTGTGGAACAAACATGCGCCATGTCTCAACCATAAAAATGATGTGCTTTGGAAAAACGCTTGGTATGGTAGCCCCAAACTTCGGCCTTTTGCAGCCCCCGGCTAAAAATGAACAATAACAATAGACAACTACAAGCATGATGCAACAACGGTGAAGTCTAATTATTATCTTGAGGGGGCAAGTCAAGGTGAGCGCCCCTCGTGCGGATCGGATCAAAACCGCCCGATCTGAGCCCATCGGCTCGGCTCGGAGTTTCTTGGAGCGCCTCTCCGCCTCGTTGGTGATCTGTTGGCAGAGCTCGCGGGTGGGCGACAGCACCACGGAGGTGGGGCACACCGCGCCCTCCTCGCGCGATCGAAAGCTGGGGGGCGCCTGCGAAAGGTGGGGGGGTTGGGCAGATCCAAGGACCCAGGAAAGAAGAAGGGAACCGGAAACGGCCCGCTCCGTGGGGTTTTGAGAGGCAGCTTCCGGTTCAGTTCATGTTTCTGTTTAGAATGTTCGGGCAACCTGGCGCTCCAAGAGAAATCAACCTCTTCCAGATTGAAACCGGACCCCAGGCTCGAACAACTCATACTCCCAAGCATCGCCATCAACGGCATCGACCTCGACCTCGGCGCGGTCCCCGCCTGCACGGGCTTGCGCCCGGCCTGCAGCGCCGCGGTGATGATGGGCACCAGAAACGCCGCCGTCTTCCCGCCTCAGGAAATCCGGACGGAGGTCTGGGAGGTCACGGGAAAGGTGGAGGCCCGGGAGGTCCGGGAGGTCCCGGGTGCTGGGTCCCCTGAAGTGCGTTAACATGGCCATGGGTCAAAAGCTAAATCGGTTAGCCCCCAGCGAACATCCGATTCAATCCAACCACTAAAATAGGTTCTAAAATGGGTGGTGAATTCACCTACCCCAAAAATGGGATCCCATTGGTTTTGACCCACAGCCACATGGGGTCAAAACTGCGCTTCAACGTCGCAACTTGGACCAGAATCCTGAGGGTGTGACTTTCATAGACTTCAGTCCGAATCCGAGCGTGCCATGTGAAGCGGCAAGAAGAGGGAACCTAGTGTTTGTGGTTCCAGGATGGCTTCATTTTCGGGGGATTCCTCTGACTAGGCTCCGCAGGATTCCGAAGATAACAGGGGGCCAAGTGTCACAACGTCTCAACCAAGGCAAGGGCTAGTAGTCGGACATCGTTCTCCAAAAGTTTAGGGGGTTTGGAGTTCCACACTTTACGAAGCGGCCAAACATGTGTGATCTACAAACAACAAAGAGCAGAATTCCTGCTTTATGGGCTGAAGCGAAGGCAACAATCCGTTCTCTCTCCGTGCCTTTTGCATAATTTGTTCATTTCACAATTGCTTGCAGGAGAAGTTTATGGCCGTCCAGCGGATGAACTCCTTGCCATCACTTCCGAGTTCAGCCGTGCAGCTCCCGCATAATAACCATAACCCGTGCTTTCCCGCAACTTCAAAATTAACATGCTGATCAAGCTCTTGACGTCTCAATGATTTACATGAGTTCGAATGGCGCCAAAACTCCGAACGGCTTGAGTATTTGTGTCACCAGACACCCTGACAAGAATCTCTTGGTCCCAGCCTTGCCTGAAATCGCTGGCCAACATCTCAACCTCCTTCAACTCTGACACTGCCAACATCCTACAGAAAGTTATTTCAGCTTGGAAACTGAAGAGGTCAGGAACCGGGAGCAGGGCAGATTGACCTTCTGGAGCCACCAGAATTGGCTCATCGCCGCGGACATAGTCCAAGGCTGCTTCGATTTGGAACCCAAAAAAAATCGAGAAACGGACCACCGTTGAGGGGAACGCGCCCAAAAAAACAAAACAAGAAGCGCCGCCCTTTCGCGTGGCCACCACGTCCAGTCGCCGGAAGATCTTCCGAGGGGCTGCCGGTCTGCGCTGTGACCAAGACATCGGTGCCCTCCAGCACCGCCGGGATGCTGTGCCTCGGGTCACGGCCCCAAAGTCTTGGCCCCAAAGTCTTCCGCCCGCGGGAGCTGTTCCCAAAGACTAAGCGAAAGTATTCACAGAAGTGGGGATCCTTGATCCCACCAACCCTGCCCTAAATCCATGGTGCCCTTCCTTTCCAGAAAAACAACCCAGTTCGCCGCATCGTCTTTGCGACGGAACCACCGCAAACGCCGCGACGTGTGCCAAACGGTTCGTGCCGAGTCGAGCCGCTTTTGCACCGGGGTGGGGATGTCGTAGCCGCAGCGCTCGATGTTGGCCGTGAGCTCATCCGGCAGGCTGTACTTCTCGCAGGCCTGCGGGTTGGTTGCTATGGACTAGAGATGGTTTTGGTTCCCCATCACCAGGCTGGTATGCGGGTTCGGTTTTTTGGGGATACCAACTTGTTGGGTGAATGCGACAGAGATGGTTTTTAGCTCCGTTTTCGCCAGGCTGGGCATGTGGGTTCAGTTTTGGGGGGAAACCAACTTGTTGTGCAAATTTTGGAGGAGACGGAAAGGAGCCTAATCCAGTTTTTGGGGTCAAATGTCCAGACAAACCCTTTTGCCACGGTTCAGGGAGCCAATAACGGTGACCCCATCCTGTGCTTCTTGCAGGGGAATCCATGTTCTCCACTTTGGACTCTGGACCCATCCAAGTTCACCTTTTGGTCATCGGTGGTCAATGTCTGGAGACAGGTCAGTCACCCCGGAAGAAACGCCAGTGGTTGGATTGTCTCATTCTGTTTCGCGGGAATCCGGATGACCTGGGCTCCGCCCTGTTGTAGGATGGGCATTTTCACCAGAACCTCCCAGCATGAAACATCATAGCCATATCTTGGCTTCGGCCTTGCTTGTTCCCAGCACGAACCATCCCATCTGGTTTTCAGGGGGATTCCAGACTGTTCCCAAGACCCCTCAAACGATTCTCTACCGAGAATCAGCAAGAAAAGCGGGGCCTTGTTTTGAAAAACCTCCACAGAGATGTGAGAAGGTGGACATCATTTACTTCTTGCCGCAAGAGGGGAAAATTGCTGCGCGTCCCCTGGATGTTAAAAGGAAAAATGAGAGCTCATGCCTTCTAGTCCCTCAAAAATGAGCTATAGACTACAGGTCTTCAAATGGAGAGATCAGGGAGTTGACTGACTTTTTTAGTTCAAGTTCAGTCCCCAAAACGGCGGTTTTGGGTTTGTTCTCAGCAACACTCTTGCCAGCCTATTTGTGTATCAATCTCTACTTATACATCGATCCATCTATCTATCGATCGATCTATCCTCTCGACGCAATCTACGGAATACATGGCACACAGGGTGGGGATACAAGAAGTAAGGCGATGCAGGGGATACAGGGAATACAAGGAGTAGGCGATACAGGTGAGAGAAAGCGGCATGCCACGAGCTCCTGTAGGATGCCACGATCTGGATGGGCCCAACCTCCTGGGATCCCAAGGAGGTTTGACTCATGGACATGCCACTGGGGGGACCATAGAAACCAACTGATATCTTCCGATTCGACGGAAAATATATTTCGCCTGGCCGGGAAAATATCAAACAACCAAAGAAGAATACAATCAGTCTATCAACTAAATCACACAGTTAGCCTCCCTACAAGATATAAACCAAAAACACATGGCAGTGTCCCTGTTGCTTGCACTTTAAGACCAACCTAAAACCGGGTACCCGCAAAAAAAAAGGGGGGAAAAAACAAAAACGTCCCTGCCGGAGACGGTGAGTCCCCGCCTCCTGAAAGCTGTTGATGGGCTGCTCCTTGCCATTGCCGCCGCGGGTCTTCACCTGAAAGCTCCGTCCGACGAGCCGAACTGAGCCTCGGGGAGAGGTGGGTTTGGAAACAGATGGGTGTGGCTCAAAGTTAAACAGGAGGGGCAAACCGCAGGTTTTGGTCCATGTTTCCACTTATTAGGGCAACCCAGTACCCTTTTTTTTGAGCCACCCTGGGACACACTCAACTTGGTTTTGGCAGCTCGTTCCTTGCTCTGTTCATTTTGGGGGGGGGGGGGCTTGCAAAAGATGGCACCACGCTGCTCATGCATACAAAAAACCTGTGAATGAAGCCTTCATGTGTTCCCTTACAGTGCTTTCCAAGGGCATTGCCGGGGTAGGGAGGTTGTGTGCATTGGGTATTAAAGACCGTTGTGCGAGATCTTCCCCAACAGACCGATAGGTTTTGGGCGCGCAGCAGAATCCTTTGGTCATTTGTGATGCTGGTTCTGCTACCTAGCCAGCTGGGTGAAATGAGCGCTGCGTTGCGTTCTTGGGTCAAGAGCCATATGGGGATTTTGATCTGCCCGTTTCGAGCCTAGCGATTTTGGGGGTGGCAATAAACGGAGGCTATTGCGACCCGTGTGCTTGTTTCCCCATGGTAAGAGGACGCAGGCTCTTGGCACCTGGGCAATGTGCTTGGTGTGTAAGTAGTGTGCACGCGTGCCAATTTTAGTAGTGCTTTAAAGGGACAGCCTTCTTTTTCTTGAAGGGAAACCATTTTTGGTCCACTTGAGGCAAACCTTTTTGTGCGGCTTCCCCTGAAGTTTCGCACGTTTGAAGGCAAAGGGTTGCGAGGAACTGCTGTATCGGGACATCCCAAAACAACCCTGAGACCCTCAATCCACATCCCAAGAAATACCCAATGGTTGCCACGCTTCTTCCACATCTCCAAGGGTTCGACCGGACCCTGAAGTTCTCGCTATCTCAAAACAGACAAACACCGGGGACCACATGGGGGTTGATCAAAAGGTCCGGTAAACATGGGATGACCATTTGGAGAAACCACTAAAAAGATGACTTTTCCCACTGCATGGTCATCTGGGAGCAGGATTGATCAAGCTTACCTTTGTTCGTCAGGGGACACTTACCGTCTCACGAACCAACGAACAGTGTCACGAATCGTGGGAGGTACCTGTTGACTTGGTGGGTGTTTAGCTTTTTCCTTGGTTATCAGTGAGGTGGTTTTCACACAAAAAGTTCTCAACTTGCAGATCAGAACACGGGCAGCCTTCAGCCAGAGAGTTCTTTAGAATCCCTGGTCAGCAGATGTCCCTGGTTTACCTGGTGGTTTACTCATCTACCAGCACCATCTGGCTATGGGTCAAAATTAGACCACCACAGAAATTTGGGCCTTGGTTCCATTGCCCAGGGCAACCCATTTGGGGCCTTTGCCCATTTTTGACCACCCCAGCGTCTCAGGGTGTCAGGGTCTCAGGGTTGGGTCCCAAAGTCCCAGGGTCTCGTCCAGTTTCAGGGACCTGGATCTCGTCGTACTTCTCGAAGTCGATGCCTTTGCTGACGTGCTCCGTCTTGAAGAGCCTCCCGCGGGCTTTTTTGAGCGCGGTTTTGGGTCTTGGGGACTGTTTTCGGACTTGTTCGAAGACGGTTTATTTGGGGGGAGGGGGGGGGGTTGGGAGGTCCTGGGCTTTGTGGGGAATCATCGGAAGATCCGGCCGCATCATGAACAACTCAACCCGATTTGATTACGACTAACACGCTGTTTGGCGTTCTGTGCAAAAAGAGGGCTTGATGAGATGCTACGAACTCGGCGATGACAAGCAACCCCCTGACTTTATTGCATGTTGCAGCTTGTTGCGAAACCTTGAGTTTGGAATGCTGGGTTGGGCGAAACAAGCCCTTTCAGCATGTCGCTCCCCACTACTCAACCAAAACGCGTTTTTCCACCCACCGCAAAATAGGGGAGGGGGGGAGGGGGGGCGCGGGCCCTCGAAAAGCACATGCCCCAGCGTCCAGCCATGTCTGCTTGACCCCCGGAAAAAAAAAAAAAAAAAAAAAAAAAAAAAAAAAAAAAAAAAAAAAAAAAAGCTCAAGGACCTAATCCATGGAACCCAGGCGGTGTGTTCCGGGTCGCATTTTGGCCCACTGTCCAACCCTTGGATGCATCGACTTCGGCCCCTTCGGAAGCTTCTGGGCCCCTTTCAACGGAAGGTCCGTCGATTCGCCTCAGGTCCTTCTGGGGGTCTTTTTTTAGACCCCCCAAACAACTTCAGGGTTTTTTTGTTCCACTGTTTGTTTCCCTTTCAACCAACCGAACAAAAAAAAGAAAAGAACGTGGCATCTCACACAGAAAAACTCAGAGGGAAGCCACCCGCGCCGCTGGACGCGCTCTGTGCTTTCCTTTTCGATCTGAAGCCTTAGGTGCCCAGTTCTGAGCATCGGGGCCGGGAGCGGCGATCGGCGATCGGCGATCGGTGTGCAGCGGGTTTCAGCGAGACCGGGCTCTCTCCTTCAAACGAATAAGGGCCCTTTGCAGAATCAGAATGGGGGGTTGGGGTAATCCAAACTTATGGAGGGAAGAATGTGAGACTCTCATGTGTTATCTCCTCTTCTTACACGCATCAAAGAGCGAATCCAAAGCAGAAACTGACCGTTGCAATTGGTGTTGTAAAAATCCCATGCGTATGTGCGTGTGTCTGTGGAGAACCCAATGGTTGCTTCAAATTGAAATCAGCTGCTATCCTGATCGACACATTCCTCTGCCCTCAGCGAAAGGTTCGGGGTATATGATCATGATCAGGCCACCGAGTGCCCAAAGTAGTCCAGAGATATGGGTGTCTTTTTTGAGGGGGGGATTCCCCTTTTGCTTGGTTTTGAAGGAAACCAACAGGACACAAGCCATGTTTCGGTGGCTCTCCCATTCGGAGACAAATTGATATGTGTTTAAAAGGCCTGCACAGCCAAGAGGCACAGCCACATCGATCGAATTGCAAATGAAAGTGAAGCTCTCGGGAGAGGGGAGACGGGGGAAGCATCCCCGAAAGGCTTCGACGCGGAACCGAACAAAATGAACCAAAGCACCTTCTCGCTTGTAGGGAAGATCAAAAGCAAAACCAAAAGCAAAACCGTTTTGGCGAGGCCAAGACGAACATACTGACTGTTCACCCCATCTTCAGCCCCAGTTTACTCCGAGAACTTCCCCAAGAGTGAGGTCGGACTCCCTGGGGATTGACTCAATGGGGGGGTCAACCTACCGGAGAATCCCGCCTCCTCTCCTCCATCGTCCAGTGGTCTTCGCCCTTCGGGCGCTCGCCTGAGCGAAACTCTCCGAAGGGCCAACTTGTGACCTCCAGGTGCTTTTCCGCCCGGAAAACAACATAAAAACAAATAGGTCCAAGAGTGAGACGTGCCATAGGTTCCCTTTAAAAGGGGGAAAAAGAAGCCGTCGTCATTTCAGCAAGTGGAAGGTGCCTTCATAAAACCGATCCCGAGCACTTGCTTTCAGTCTCCCCCGTTTTGGTTTGGAGTCGAAGCTCGGTGTGTTTTGTTGCGTTCGGCCCGAGAAAAACCCCACCCAGGGGGGGTGAACTCGTCACCTAAGGGTTGCCTGATTCTTCTTGGGTTTCCTGAGCTTTCCCAAAGCCCCTCACCGTTCCATCGCCAAGTTGCTGCCGTGCTTCGGGCACCGGTGCCGGTTTGTTTTTTGTTTTGTTTTTTTTCTTCGGGGTTCAGTGAGCATGGGAAAGAAAAGAAAACTGGCGATGCGGGAAGGATCTAATTTCCTTCAGAAGTCAGACTCTGAGTTTACACAAGTGATGGTTGCAATATGGACATGTCAGTTGCGCGAAGTCACGAAGTCAGCCCAAGAAGCAGTGCACTGGTCTGAAACAAATAACGACATGGGGACCATTCCTGGCTGATGTAACTGCACTACTTGTTGTGGTTCAACGATTTGAATCCAAGAATCCCTATCCCTGCTTGAATGTTCAACCCATTTACAGGAAGTTTATAAACCCATGCTCACAAAAGGGGCAACCCAAAGTTGCCCGAGGTACAACTAAACATGGTCACAACCTATCTGGGCTTTGAATACGGCGTCTGAAAAAATGACAAGATCCTCCCGATTCGCTTTGAAACGATCCAAACTACTGGGCGAAATGCAGTACCCGGCTTTGCACCAGACTACTTGCTATATGTCTCTAAAACTAGGGCGGCCCTCTTGATTGGCGGTTTGCCTCTGGGCTTCAAGCCGAACCGGTTTGAACGTGTGTCTCGAGATTTGCGCGGATCCCCAAGCCTAGGCTTCGGGCTGTGGGGGTTTTCCTTTGAGGCGCCATCCCCAAGCAACGGATTTCCCCCCAACAAACGCGGAACACGAGACACAGCGTGCTTCCCCCGGCTCTCCTCGCTGCACCAGCCCGCGCTGGAACTGGAAGAACTGCTCCGCCTGGCTTGGAATCCGATCCGGTCGAGCCAGGTCATGTCGGGAATTGCAACAGTTGATTCAAATTCGCCCTGACCGACCTGACCGACCTACCAATTGGGATGTCACTTTTGGCCAAAAACAATTGGGGAGGAAGTTCCTCCCAATTTCTGTCCTCCAGGTGAGGTGGTTTCCTCTTGGCTTCCCTCAAAACCCTGGTGGAACCATTTGGCTTCGGACCTTGGAAACTGACTGACCGAAAAAATCAGAGAAAAAGCATTGGATTGGGAAAGTTTTCATGGACACATTCCGCTCACGTCGGATTCAGGGATCCGGTGGAGCCATTTGGAGTAGAAATACCAGACCTGAGATCTCTTCCTAATTTGGGGGGGGCCGGGGGCGGCCTTCGCCCCCCCCCAAAAGAAAAAGAAGAAGCTTGGCTTCCCGAAAAAAGATCCGCGGTCGGTCGGCAGAAGGCTGCGCTTTTCTACGATCCAGGCCTCGAGCCGGATCCCCGAAACTTCTTGTGGCTCAAATTCGGGCTCCCCGCCGAGCCCAGGCACCGGCAAGGCGAAATTTCACCCTCTGGTCCCTTCGGACCCTTTCCCCGGAGGAAAATGCCTAGGCCAGAGCCGCAATGTTGGAGAATTGAGGAGAAAAAGGCACCAAAACGCGACGAAACCGTTACAAAGCAAACGCGGGTTTCGTCAAATCGCATCTTTCGCCTGGTTGAACATGACGGGATTGTGGGTGTCTGTTTTGAGGGTACGCTTTTGGGTTGAAATTTTCGGGGTGGTTGTGCGGAAACCGCATATTTTAGGGGCGCCACTATTTGGGCACCCTTGTTGGGTTGGCTTAAACGACAATAAGAATCAACTTGGAGGGTTTCAATTCTCTAACTACAAACCCACATTATTCCTTCCGAGGCAAACAAGGATTGCACAGGGCACAGAAACTGAAAAGACTGTGGAAAGAGTTGGCACAGATTGCAACGCTTGACAAGATTTAGCCAAGATGAACAAACACGTGCACAACATCCGGAAGTGTTGTGAAAGCAAAACATGTCGAATCGCTTGATGGCGCACTGCATTCACCCCAGGTTTTCTTGAAACAAGGTTCCTTGGTTTAGCGCCAAGAATTGGTGGACACCAGAAAGATGCATCTTTGGGGGCCTGCCCCTCTGTCCCTGACGCCCCCAGTTCCACTGCTGGCCTCGCGGGCGCGCTTCATGTCGGTCATCCGCTGGATGTCTGCAGGGCTGCGGTATCCGCCCCCGAAGTTGCCGCCTCCGCCGCCTCCGCCGCCATAGCCGCCCTGGCGGGTGAAACTGAAGCGGTGGCAATATTGTGCTTAAACTTTGTATATTTGTTTGGATATACCTGGGGGGGACACCTAATTTCATCATGACTGAAACTGCGGTGATTTTTGTTGGGGTCATAAACCGTGAATTTGGACTTTGGCGGGCAGGATTCGGGCAGGACTTGTGTCTGCCAACCCTTCAGAGTCTTCGTATTTCGCTCCAGGGCTTGGGAGCACTTGCCTTCGATCCAATCGAGGAATCGAGGCTAAAAGTGTCGGGAAACCGAGTGCGACTCCCGGCAGGGAGTAAGCCGCTTCCCGATGAGCTTTCCCGGCACGGACCCGGTGGAACCGATCGCAGCAAAACAAAGGGCTCGTGCATGCGCCAACTGCGCCGAAAGCCTTCCGAACAAAAAGCTGGGGCACGGAGAAGAAGGCTTGAGGACGAGAACGTCGTGCAACGGGTCGCCGACCCTGGACTAAACCCGAAACGCGGAGAAAGACAAACACAAAAGACCAAGCTTCTTCCACATGGCAAAACAAGGACTTGGCGGTTTGCTCGTGGTTCCCTTACCAGGCAACTGCAGAAACCTTATCATTCTCATCCCTCTGAAGGTCTTTAGGGACCCTCTCTGCGGGGGTCACTGAATTTTCTCATCCCTCTGAAGGTCTTTAGGGACCCTCTCTGCAGGGGTCACTGAATTTCCCCTTCAAAGGTTGCAATATACCTTTGGTTTCCAGAGGATGGCTCGGAAACCCTGTCTCTAGCAGGCCCCAAGCAGTTGGTGTTGACCACGTGTGTTCCTTCGCCAGTTCAACATTCCAAACATCAAGAGCTGCGTTTGGTTGAAACAAGACAACCAGCCTTGTCAGCACTCAGCGTCCTTCAAGAAATGTATTTCTCAGTATGGAGCTACGAATCCACTTATAGGAAACCAATAAGGGATGGTTCAGTTCGGGGTCATGCCCCCAATTTCTGCTGAGCACCAGGAAGTCTTCCAAAGACAAAATGAGTATTGCTCTAGGGGTTGATTCCCCTTCTTTCCAAAACCGGATCCGTTGCCCCTCGGTTTCCGGAGGTCTTCTAGAAAGAAGAATCCCTGGATTCAGAACGGGAAGTTACCCCTGGAACCATGGTAACTTGCGGTGAAAGTCGTCTTTTGGGGGTGGGTTTCCCTAATGGAAAGGTACCCCTAGACTTGCTAATGTTAACCGGATCTAAGTAGAACCCCTGGTTGATTAATAGGGAGGTGTCCCCTTTTAGTGGGGATTCATCACTTTTGGAGGGAACACCTTTGTAATAGTGGGACGGGTGTAATCCTGGGTCAACATTCCCCCGAACCGATCCCGTCCCAGTCGTCCCAGTCAGCTCGGCGCGCTCGAGCCGATCCGAGCGGCCGCGCAGGCGCCTTGCCCATGCCCTGCGAATGGAACGAAATAGATCAGAGAGCTGCCCCGTAGCCGTTTCAGGTTTTGCCTGCTGCCATGGAATCCGCTGGTCCAAATCAAATAGATTGATATGTAGTATAAACGAAGACTATGTATGTATATATATATAATTATGCGTATGTTTCTTCTTTTTATGTATATGTGACATTGTATGAATGTTCTGCAATACAGGCAAGATCCATATCTTCCTGAGCTGAGGCCAAACCACTTTCCATCCCCAAGCTTACCATCTCCCTCCACCAGCCAAAAGTCTCCCAAAAACACCCACACACAATAAACTGTTCAGTGGGCCATAGAATTCAAAACATCAAAAGAAGCACCCCATCCCGACGGAGCCTGCTGACGACCTAAAACATGAGCCCCACCGGGCCATTGAAACTAGCCTGCTTTTACGGCCCACAAATGATGACCCTTAGAATACCAATCGGAAACATATACAACAAAGCAAGAAAACCAAACTAAACCAACACAACCAGGTGTAAAGAGCAGCTATCTTTGGCGAACAACAACAATTTCACCTTAAAAAAAAAAAAAAAAAAAAAAAAAAAAAAAAAAAAAAAACTACAAACAAGACATAAACAACACAAAAACTGCAAACAATACATAAACAAAAACAAACAAACAAAAAAACTACCAGGTAGGGGGGGCCAAGCAAGCCCCAGCTAAGATGCGCACTGATTGCATTTGTTTTGGTAACCAACACTGACAGGAATGGCTCTGGGATCCACTGCAGATGTAGGAAACACCATAAGGACGACCACGATTTTCGAAACAGGAAACTCCAAAGGGAAATGGCTTCTTTTGACAAGCACCAGATTTTCCAAAGGGAAACCCAAAGAGAAAATTGGATCGATTCTTTTGAGAAGCACCGATTTCTCGAATTTCAGGTGCTTTTCCAGAGCGAAGGCTATACAAACAAGACATAAACATAACAAAAAACTGCAAACAAGACATAAACAAAAACCAAAAAATAGAACTACAAACAAGACATAAACAACACAAAAACTACAAACAAGACATAAACACACGCCCGGGGCAAAACCACAAAAAGGGCCTGTTTCGGGCCATCCGCCAGCCCCAACTTCCGTCCCCCGCGCTCTCCCGCCTTGCCATACGCGCGGAGCGCGCAGCTGGCGCCCAGCGCGAGCCCGACGTGCCAAAGAGAGCTGCCCTGCCCGTCCTGGCGAGCCGTCTCGCCTGATGGGACAACCCCTGGACTTGGTTGCTGGAAGGACCCCTCCGCAAAAAGCTTTTTTTTTCTGGCTTTTGGTGGGTTTAGTGGAAACCGCTTGATTTCAACCAAAAACTTAGGCATCCCCTTGGTTGCCTTCTGCTCCCCTGCTAAAAGTGACTAACTTTTAGTCGTTTATAATGCGTTTTGGATCTGTTGTTTGGGGGAACGCAATGCTCATGGTTCTAAGGGACGGGAAAATGAATCAAAGAGAGACGGGTTTGATCGTCCCCAATCATTTTAACCACGGAGCTGCAGTTCGAAGCTGAGATGTCGCACGCAAAACGGTCATTCGGTCATTCGCTTTGCCACATCCACCCTCGCCTGAAGATCCAGTTAAGACCCCCATGGGAGACATGAGTTCTGAGGCCAAAATTGCACTTGCCCATTTTGCAGAAAACCCACTTTGATGCCCTGAAAGGGTGAAAATTGCACTTTCTGTGGTACCACTTTAAAGGCAACCTCCCTTGGTATGAAAGGATGGGATAGGTGACAACCTATCAATTGCCTTTCACTGATCAACATGTTCGTTCGGGTCGCGCAGAACAAAGGACGGAAGAGTCTCTTTGGCAGTAAGGGACAGGGTTCCATATTTTTCCCCCAAAAGGACTTAAATCCAGGGTCCGTTCTTGGCATGCATGAAGCAAACCTGGGCTTGAGCACGTTTAGGTACGGTAACCTCCGATGTCCCAAGGAGCAACCAATCAAGAGTGACTCAGTTTGCCCGTAGTTGATATCCCATTTTGGTGGGTTTGAAAGGAAAACCAGAAGGAACACCAGCATCACACACCCGAATATCATCCACTGCCGCTCATGCGCAGAGGCGCCACTCAGGAGCCTTCAGACCTTTACCCGGTTGATCTCCTGTCAAAACAAGGCCTACCCTTTGGTTTTTATCAAGTTTACAGGAAAGACAACTAAAGAAAAGGAAAAAGATGGAAAAGGGGGGAAACCCCCACGGAAAAAACGACGGAAGAACAGGACAAGCCCTTGGGTTCTTCATCAAAACCGGGAACGCAACCAAAGAAAGGACGAAACACCTAGGTCCTCCAGTAGCGAGGTTAGAATAAGGGTACCCTGGCAGACCTAGACACGCTCAAATTGACCTCGGCGCGCCCACGCGAAAAAAAAATCCTCCAAGGAGCCGCCAATGCGCCGCTGCGGGGCCAAAACTGGGCCTCAAGAACTGCTGTTCGTTTTCTGATCCCCCGCTGAAAGGGCAACTTTTAGTGGAAGATCCACTAAAGCTAAGGAACCGGATGGCTGGAAGCTAAACGGGTGTCAAACCCTGCAAATAACACCCTCAAAGAAGCAGAAAGCATAAGGGTGGGGAAGGTTGAAAGCCCCACTAAGTCATGATCACATGGCTCGTCATTTCTTAGGTTGGACCCCTTGCAAATGGCTTCGGTTCTCCTTTTGGTTTCCCTTTAACACTACCCCAAGCAAATGGTACCGAGCCTCCAAACTTTCAAGACCAGAAGGGGGCGTTTCAACCAGAAACTCCCAAATGGCTGTGGGTCAACACCAATGGTACCACTTTGGGGTAGGGCACCTCCCATTTTAGGACCTATTTTGGTGGTTGGATTGAATCGGATGTTCACTGGGGGTCACCCTTCTGTCCTATGGCCAAGCGGGGCCCGCGTACCTAGGCCCACGCTCGCTCGGAATCCGGTCAAAGAAGAAGGCGCCGCGAAGGTCAACGCCATGGCCGGAGGTCGTCGGAAACTGCAAAAACAGCAAGGAGACGATGGCGTGATGCCGTGACAGAATTGGATGGAAGAAGTTCGGGCCAAAAGGGCTGCTGAACAAAGCCATGAGTTCAGGAGAGGGAACTATAATTCTTATTGCTCCGAAGGATGTAACAGATGGATGGGAGGTTTTGAGGTACCCTTTCGGGGGTAACGAACGGAAACCCACACTTTGTGAGGGTTCCATATCCCTGTTTTGAGACAAACCCATACACCGACGAATTCGTGTTCCCTATCTGTAGCTCAGCCCCCTGCAAACCATGAAAGGCTCTTGTTCCTGCATCACCCGCATCATCTGCACGTCAGGCACCTGCAAACCATGAAGGGCTCTTGTTCTTGCATCACCCGCATCATCTGCAGGTCAGCCACCTGAAAACCATGAAAGACTATTGTTCCTGCACCACAGACCTGCAAACCATGAAGGGGTTTTGTTCCTGCATCACCTGCATCATCTGCAGGACAGCCACCTGCAAACCATGAAAGGCTCTTGTTCCTGCATCACCTGCATCATCTGCAGGTCAGCCACCTGAAGGCTCTTGTTCTTGCATCATCCGCATCATCTGCAGCAAACCATGAAGGGCTCTTGCTCCTGAATCACCCGCATCATCTGCAGCAAACCATGAAAAGTTCTTGTTCCTGCATCACCCGCATCATCTGCAGGTCAGCCGTCACCCGCATCATCTGCAAACCATGAAAGGCTCTTGTTCCTGCATCACCCGCATGATCTGCAGCAAACCATGAAGGGCTCTCTCTTCCTGCATCACCCGCATCATCTGCAGGTCAGCCACCTGCAAACCATGAAAGGCTATTCTTGTTCCTGCATCACCCGCATGACAACGGCCGCTCGATTCAAGAAGAACACTCCTGCATCACCCGCATTACAGCAGACCTGCAAACCATGAAAGGTGATGCTTCCTTGCCCAGCATTGGGCAAATGCATTAGTTCCTGCTTTTTTAGCACACTGGACTTGCGCCCATTTACTTCCAGCGTTCCACGTTGCATCAAACAGCAAGGTGCTTCCAGCACCGCCAAAAGCGCCAGCACTTAAGGACATGCACGTAGACATAGACCTAGTTTGAGTCACTCGACTGTCGAAGGAAGCGAGCCTGGCGTGGACCCAATTATTTTTTGAACCGAGCGGCCGTTGCAATTACGCCAGTCCGCTGTTTCGGCGCAGAGGGACAAAACGAGAAAATAACGAAGAGAAAGCGAACACAAACCAAACAAAACCCAACACAAAACAAAACAACCGCCCACAGTGAGCAACTCAGCATGACTAAGTCGGACAAGGAACGCCTCGACACTTTGAGCAAAAATCGAAACAAATGTTCCAGTCGTATTCTTGGGAGTCAGCGCCGCATCGTGAGGGCCGAACAGTCCGCGAGCCGAACCAAAAAACACGAGACAGAGGCCTCAACCATTAAAACCAGTGCAGCTGCAAGCCACATAAGCCATGGGCACAAGGGGCGAAAAAAGAAACCAACGGGAGCCAAGAGATTCTTTCCCACCGTGAAATAATCCTATTTTAAGAGAGCAGGGTCGAGAAATTGTGAAAGAGATCGAATTCAAGTGAAACCTCAAGGTCCAAAGAACTGTGCACCGCACTCATATGTACGGAAAACGAAATGAAGCAGTCATTCCCCCATAACAGGACCACCACTGAAGCCCGGATCAAATATAGGCCAATATCGCCAAAGGCAGAATGGATAATCCTGCCACACTTCGAAAAGCATGAAAGAGCAAACCAAATATAGTTCGGGAGCGACGCCACAGTACGCCAGGGATCATCCAGGAGTACTAGGCGAATTCGTAAATACGGCTAAAGAGACAACGACAAAACCAAGCCAAAACAAACAAGGTCAACGTCCAATGCAAGTTAGCTGGCCAGCCGTGACTCTGAGGCGACCTCCCAATATGCCAGTACCGAGAGCGTAGAAAAATATGTGTATACTTTCAATGAACGATCCTCTCCGGCGCCCTTGCACCGGTGTACCACTAGTAAGATGTGAACCGGGCGACGCAGCACGGAGCCAAGAAGCGCTGTAATCAGTTCTGCAAAAAGAAAAAAACCAAGTCTGTAACATCTGGACATACTGTCAACAGACCAGCCCAAAAAGGAAACACGCCGAAATCATCAAGGTTCGCCACTTGGACCGTCAACCAGCAAGCTGCATATAGCATCAATGCCGCCGAGGATTCAAGCTCATCCTCAGGCCAGGCATGGCTATCGGCACTGAGTCTAAGCAGCAACCACCCGATAAGCCAAACCAGATCAATGGACGGCCAAAAGAAAAATACGGCCACCCGCTCTCTCATAACGTCTCCGCATCCTCAGTGCTTATCTGGGAGGTTGGGTGTGTCTCCGCATCTGCGGAGTCTGCACAAATTGGGCGCTTGGGTTCTTGCTCGCGGTGCAGCCACAGCTCTTGTGCTCGCGTTTCTGCATCGGTCTTCTACTTGCTATCTGCCTGCAAAACCGCTGCTCGATTTTCTTCTGCGCGCCCTTCGGTCGATCGAGTTCTGCCGCGCTTCTGTGCGCGGCGCTGGCCTCGCCGCTGAAAATTTTCTGCCACTCGGCTTTCTGTGGCCCAAGCGGAAAGCCTGTCGCATTCTCAGTGGTTTCTGGCACTCGCAGACCTAAGTGCCTGGGACTCTGGCACTGCTGACCGCTTTTTTCGGCGCTCCAAGTTCCCTCAGTTCCCTGGGAGCCTTGAGTGCCTTGAATGCCCAAGCGGACGCGTTTGCAGCAGCAGCCCCGCCAAGACAGCGCGGATTGATTCTACCAACTCAGCCAATGAGATTGGCAGAAAAATGAGCACAGCTGGCCCTGGTTTTGAAACACAGCCCCTGGAGAACAAGCGCGCAAAGGGGGCGCAGAAGCAACCAACAAGCAAAAAGCACAACGGACACCTGTAAACGGACACTATTGCGAGTTGGACCCTCTCTATGTTGGCAAGCTTGGAGACTAAAAAGCAAGGAACACATTAGCAGAGAGGAGAAAGCGCGACACCAAAAGCATCTTTCTGACTTGTATGTTTGATTAGAAGTGCAGGGGGAGCTGTCAAAAACCCAGCGGCTCAAACAGCACTCACGTGACAATGCAAGAATAAGGCATCTCCATTCGTTTCATAGGTTTCTGAAAAGCAGTTTCCCTGCCGCCTCAACATGAAGCTCACTTCACACTCGCAGGCAGGCAAAACTTCCACTGCAACGTGTTTTGTGCTTCATCGCTGCTGCCCAGACACGTCCTGCATACGGACCAAAACATTCTGGCCACTGAGCTGGCTGCACAATGCCGGTCATTCGGAGCAAATCATGTTGCTTGATCTCCTTCTTCTGCTCCTCCGTGCAGTAAACGATCAACACATCGTTCTCATCACAGCTTTCGGCGCGTTCATGTTCAATGCTGACTGTGTTCAAACTGCTGCTACCTTGCTTGCTTGTCCACACTCTGATATGCAAGTGCCGCTTGCGGCTTGGAGAAGCACTGCAAAGTCAGCCGCAGGGGAACTTTTGGCGTTTTGCACCACGTACAAGTGAGGGGCATTTGGGATTAGAATCTCAGTTCCTGCGTTTGTACGCGTTTTTTGAGAAATGATTGATCGAGGACGAAGTTCTGCAGGCCAAAATGCCTTGTGTTTGTTGCAGCCCAGCCCGTGGCTGTGACAATTTCAAGGTGTTTGTTCTTGATCTGTAGTCCATCAAAGGTTTTGGGGTTGAGCAAAGCACCCCGATGCAAATCGGAAAGGCTGACCATCTCACCATCGTTCCACACCCATGATTTCAAAGCCTGGAAGCGCAGTAAGAAAAGTTTGAACGCAAAACCAGGGGCCCCTTCCCAATCTGTGTGTAATCCAGCAACGCCCAGTCATGCAGCTGCGGTTTGTCACTAAGAGCAAGGTGGATCCAAACACCGCTTTCTGTTTGGGCTGTACTGCGGCCGAACCAGCTGCAACCTTTCCGGGGAGGGCAGCGTCAAACGCGGAGCACTGAAAGCCTCAAAGCCAAGGGGTGCCCCAAAGAAAGGCTTGGGGGGCCAAACCCCCGTTTGCCCCAAAACAAGGCCTCAAATGACACATGCGAATGTAAGATGCTCACTCCATGTTTTTCGTTCTCGCCCTGCGGTGGAATGGGGATGCCCAAGGTCAAATCAATACCATGTTCAAGAGTCAGGGGCGAGCCTTCCCCCCTTCCAGGCTCCAATAGAAGTCGAGCACAGCTTACCCACTCCGGCAACACACATGCGTAACACGCGTCACGGCAATGTGACAAGCGCATCTCCTGTCAAAACGCATGTGACACACTCAATAGTGACATCTGGCAGCACTTGCAACAACTGGCGCCAGTCTGCTCTTAAAGGGTGGTCTGCGATGTTGCTCTGCGAGGCAACACGGGCAAACCAGTAGAGCGCCGAGTTTTCAGCATCAACCCGTTCCCATTCCAAAAGCATGCGCCGCCAAGATTTCCCCTTTGCAGATCCATTGATGCTGGCACTGAGCACGCTTACATGGTTGACAAAGAAAATGCATCTGGCGCCATCCAAGAACTGCCTCCAAGTGTGCCGCACAAGGACCATTGCATTCAGTTCTGCTTCCTGCCCAAGTTGGACCACTGCTTAGCAACGTTGACAGGCACCGCTGCTCCAAACGCGCGTGCTTCAAAGCTGTTCCCGCAGGGCCGAATCAGCACGCCGCCTATAGTGGCTGAGAAACATGCCTTTTCTTCATAAGCACAAGGATGTCACACAACAGTTGTGAATGAATGGTTGTCAACCTCTTTTTGTGTCTATGACACAGTGCTCAAGCAAAAAAGGACACGCGCGCTGCCCAACAACCCTCGTGTGCAAAAATGGCTTTGGTTCCGGCTCCGGCCTCCTCCCAACTGCCAGCGAATCTCACCGCTGGCACGACGGCGGCCTTCGCGCGCGGCTATGCCTTCAACTACACGTTGGCGCCAG